CCCCAAAACCCCAAAACCCCAAAACCCCAAAACCCCAAAACCCCACTAACGCGTCAATAATTGATAAATATTAACTAATAAAATGCCGAAGAAAGGTGGCTACAGGAAGAAGAAAAGAACCCATGTCGAAGAAGACCCTGATGATGATGAATACATCCCAAAGTCATTCATCATCAGAAGAGGCAAAATCGGTCGATTCGCAACAGAGTTAGTCAAGGATATGAGGAATTGTATGTACCCAAACACAGCAATTAACCTACATGAGAGGAAGAATAATAGCCTCAAGGACTTCTTGGGTGTTTCTGGGATGTATGGAGTCACTCATATGATGATCTTCACTGCTACAGAGAAATCTAATTATATGAGATTGATCAAAAATCCAAAAGGACCAACTCTTACTTTTAGAATTAAGGATTATTGCTTAAGCAAGGATATCATCTCGTTTAATCAAGAGCATAAGAGAAAGAACAAGATCTTCACTGAGAAGTTCACCACAGCTCCATTGTTGGTCATGAGTGGGTTTAACAATCTTGAAGAGGATGACTCCTTCAAGCTTGTGACAGCAATGCTTCAGTCATTATTCCCACCTCTAAATGTTGAGAAGATCAAACTTGACGAATGTAAAAGAGTAGTGCTCTTCAACCTCATTAGACCAGATGATGGAACTGCTCCATATATCGAATTCAGACACTATGCTCTTCATGCCAGACAGAGAGATGTAAACAGGGGAATAAAGAGATTAGTCAATAATAGCAGACTTCCAAATCTTAGCCGTATGGGTGACATTGCAGATTACATTCTTGGAAAGAAAGCAGGATATTACAGTTCAGAAAGTGAAGCTGATGACCTTCCTAACTCTAAGGTTGAATTAGCCCAAGACTTCCAAGGCAAGAAAAAGAGTAAGCCCCCAGACTAATTTCTAGGCAGTAATGTTGCTATCAGATTATATGAAGTTGGCCCAAGGATGAAACTCGGTATAGTTCCCTTATTAATACCTAGACTTGCTCAAGATCCAAGAAGGTTTCTGTTCAGGCAATGTGATTTACCATCAGCTAGTTCAAAAATCAAAGAAAGAAATTCTAGAGACATCCAGAGAACTAAAGAAGAAGAGGAAGGCTAAAGAAGAGCGTAAGAAGGAGCAAGAAGAAAACATCAAAAAGAAGGAGAAAGAGCTCGGCTTCGACAGTGAATCCGAATTAGAAGAAGTTGACGAATCCAAACTCACTAGAAAACAAAGAGCCGCTAGGAAGAAGAAAGTGGCAGAGGTTACCAATCTTAAGAAAGTTAAATTTGCTGAAGACAAAGAAGAAGTGTTTTAAGTTTTCAATCCTGTGTTTGTGAATAGGGGTTTTGGGGTTTTGGGGTTTTGGGG